ACACTGCTGGATCCCTACCCAATCCTCTGACCACTCAACCACACTTGTACATTTTGTAACCATGAGAATAAAAAAAATTACTTATTTCTCTTCACCTCCATTATTACTACTTTAAGCACCACTATTTCTTGCCTAGACTACTGTAACAGCTTTTCAGAATGTTTAAGTGTGTGTGTCATTCCCCTCCTACATTCCTCACTGCAGAAAGTTCTCTGAATTACGTATCTGATTGTATCCCTCTTTTTAAAACCTTTCATATGACTCCCCATTGCTGTAGAATGCTGAAAGTTCTTCACTCATCTCATTCTTTCCCAATCCCACATTCTAGCACTCCATTCTCTGTACGAAAACTGTGAGTTACCGTACCTGTCCTTTCAGGCCTCAGTGGGATATCCCTTCTGGGAAGCCTTCTGTGGCCTAGCCCAGGTGCACCTCCCCCTGCACTTATTATGCTATATTGCCATGGTTTACTTGTCAATCTTTCCAGTAGGCTGTGAGTTCAAAATGAGAGACAGTTTCTGATTAATCTTTTATTTTTCCCAGTGCCTAATATAGTATCCACACACAGAAGAAACTCAAATATTTACTGAGACTACAGCAAGATGATATAGGAGCTATTAATCAACAGACTGCTGCGATAATCTGAGCATGAAGCTAAAAGGGTCTAGTCTATTAGTGACTGTGAAGAGTGGAGAAATCACTAATGCAGAAGCCAGTTAAATTCATTAGCCACTAACTTAATACCCACTTTGTACTAGAGACTACAGTAAGACATAGTCCTGGCCCTAAATAGTTGACAATTTAGCACAGAAGGTATGAAACCAAGCTATAAAATATGTCAAGTTCTAGACTAATAACAAGAACAGTGCTTTCTAAGTCCTGAATATAAAGCAAATAATTTTAGGGATATGGGGGAAGGCTCAGTAATAGGTGGTAACCTTTCAGCTGAACCTTGTAGGCCAAAGAGAATTTTGTCAAGGAGGGAAACAATAGTATTCTAAAGAGGGAACAAGACAAGAACAGCAAAAGGGCACAAGGGTACATAATGTGTTCAACGAATTGGAATATAAGCTATGTTCCCAATGTTTAGAAGAGTGCCCAGCTCATAGTAGGTGCTCAGTAAACCTTAGCTAAATCAAAGAGTTTAGGAGTATTGCAGTGTGGATAGAAAGCATGATATGTGACAAGCGATGAGGCTGGAAAGGTAGTTGGTGGCCAGATAATAAAGGACCTTAGTTCAAAGGGTCTCGTCTTAGATTGGTAGACAAGTCATTAAAAGGTCTAAAGCAAGGCCCTACCTAAAGCAACCAGAACTGTGTTTTAGAAAAACTGTTAATGGCTTTGAGGAATATGGCAGTGAAATAGTGTCTCTGATGAGCTAAATGGAGGGGTACACACAATAAAAGGACAGTGTCATAAGATCTTTCACTCGCCCTGAACAGGAGTGGGGAGACAGAGAAAAAAAAAGTAGAGGTATGATGAAATAATTCTGTCCTATAGATTAAACAATTTGTGCTAGAAAGGAGAAGAAATGAGGGATGTAAGTGGCATAGTGAGGACCTAAGTGTGCAAGTAAGGTTGCTTATTCCTAAACAAAAAACCAAAAGGATTGATGAGAAGGACAAAGGAGAAACCAAAGCGCAAAAACTATCCAAAATCTAACCACAACACTCAGAATCCTGTATAAGAATAATGGTAGTTCCTTCAATCTCAATACAGACCCCTAGAAAACTAGCTTTGTGAAAGTACAGTTGAACAAGAAAAGAATGAACAAGAAAAGACAAATAGAGACAATATAATCTGATGACCTACGAGCGGGTAGGGAGGAGGGAGGAATTAAAAATGTATAAAATTACAAGGTTAGGTAACTGGAAGTACTCTGGTTTTGTTAATCTAGATAGGGAATCCTAGCTCAGGGTACAGATTTGAGGGAGGAAAATTGGTACAGTTTAAACATGCTGAATTTGGGTACCTGTATAGTGTCTACTTTGAAATGAAGTCCATAAAGAGGTCAATGCCTCACAAAGATTTGGGAGTCATGAATCAAACAGACAGAAGTAGAAAGCACTGGGAAAGAGGGCATCTACAGAGCCACTTCAAGGTGAGAAGAGGGCCAAGGACACAGCTATGGAGATTATCTACATTTCCGAGAAAGGACAGAGAAGAGACAACAAAGAGATTCCGGAAGAGTAGTAAGAAAAACAGGTGGAGACAGAGGTGAACAACAATGACAGAAAACATTTCTTCAATATGAACATCATAGGTCAGTCTCTGTTGTAAGGATATACTTACATCCACTCATTTAACCCTATGGCGGTCCCCGCCATTATGAGTTGGGTACCATAACTATCCTCATTTTACAGGTGAAGAAATGGAAAGACAGGGAGGCTAAGTAATTTGCTGAAAGTCACTCAACTAATAAACGGTAGAGCCAGAGTGTGAACCTAGGCAGTCTCTCCATGGACAAGAAAATTTCAAAGAAGGAAAGGAAGGTCAACAGTGTTAGATGTTGCTATGAAGGAGAGTAAGATTTGAGGGGCTCATATTGGCAATTAGTTAATGAGAAGTGAAGAGACAATTCCCAGGAGAAAATATTTACAAACTGTGTATCTCGTGAGGGACTATCTAGCATATATAAAGAACTATTACGACTCAATAATAAAAAAAAAAAGCCAACCCAATTTTTAAAAATGGGCAAAGGCTCTGAATAGACAGTTCTCCAAAGATATACAAATGACTAAAAAGCAGATGAAAAGATGTTCAGCATCATTAGCCATCAGAGAAATGCAAATCAAAATCATAAGGAGGTACTACTCCATTCCCACTAGGATAGCAATAATCAAAAGTGTCAGATAATAAAACGTGCAGGTAGAGGGGTAGGTTCAAATACTTGTAACACTGCTAGTTCGGTGTAAAATGGTGCTGTCCCTCTGGAAAAGGTTGGCAGTTCCTCAAATGGTTAATCACAGAGAAACTATATGACTCAACAATTCAACTCCTAGGTATGTATCAAGAGAAATGAAAACACATCTACGCAAAAACCTGTACATGCATGTTCATAACAGCATTATTTATAACCCCCAAACAAAAACAACCAAAATGTCTAAGTGATCAATAGGTAAATTAAAAGTGATAGTCCTACAGTGGAATATTTGGCAATAAAAAGGAATGATGTATTGATACGTACTACAACATAGACGAACCTTGAAAACACCACGCTAAGTTAAAGAAACCAATTACAAAGAAACACATACAGATTGTAATGTTCTATTTACATGAATTGCCCAAACAGGGAATCTATAATAGAGACAGAAAGTAGATGAGTGGTTGCCTAGGGCTAGGGCTAGTGGGGTAAGGAGACTGGGAAGGATTAGGGAGTGATGAGTGAACAGAGTGGAGTTCCTTTTCAGGGTAATGAGAATGTGTAACCATCACCACAGTCAACTTCAGAAGAACTCTGAGAGCGTGCTAAAAGCTATGAATTGTATACTTCAAATTAATGAATTGTATGCTTTGTGAATTACATCTCAACAAAGCTGTTTTTAAAAATTAATGGAAAATGAGGTAGAAGCAAAGACAGGATATGCGTGAGTAGGGACACGAGGTCAAAGAGAGGTTGGGGAAGACCTGAATAGGTTTTACTGATTGAGAGAGGTCAGTGGAAAAAGAGCTTAATAAGGGGGAAGGGGGGCAGAAACACACACACACACACACAAACAAAAACATCACAGATTAAGCAAAGTCCTTTAAAGGGGATGGAAAGGACTAAAAAAGGAAAAACAGTAACAGCAAAGTTACAGAGAACTTGTGTGAAGCTAAGTTGAGAATTCATACTTGCAGGATCCTATTTTTCACTGAAGTGAAAGATTAACTGAGGTAGAAGAGGTCTGTGGCTGAATATGAAGGTGAAGGATAGAGTAAGAAGTCCAGAAAAGTAATAAAAGTTGGAAAAACTGCTGACAAGAAAAGGAAAAGAAAGCAACAGACAAAAGGCTTTAGTAGAATGGAGCGGAGTGAGACTAGAAACAGACATTACTGGCACCAATATGTGTGACTATAGGATACTCTTGGGTAGATTGGTCAGACCACCATTTAAACACTGAGATGGAAGATGACTGGGCTGTTTTTAGGTTGAAGGTTGCCAAGAGTATAGGTGAAATGCTTGATCTTAAAATCCCACTGAGCGGGAAAGGCAGTTACATGAAAAGATGGCGGATGTCGCAAAGGAAGAACTAGATTTAATGACTGAATTGGTATGGAAGATGGAGGAGGAGGAGTCCTAATTCATTTGTCTGGAAGAACTGACAACCGACCAAAAAAGAGTTCCACACAGGGAGCAGGCTACTCTGGAGAAAAATGAATTACTCAAAAATATATCGTAAGGTTTAGATTGAAGAAGGTTCTTAAGAAAACAACCCTGTCATTTGAGAGAAACAGGAATCAAGTGAGGCCCAGAGAAGCGAAATGACTTTGATGAAGCCACAAGGTACCAATCGAAGATGAGAAATGACTTTGAACTCCAGGCCATTCTATTAGACCACAGAGCCTCACTAATATCTGGAGTTTGACACAATACAGGACATACACGATGGTGATGCTTCATGAGGAGATTCAGCAGCACTAAAATTGGGTTTGAATTTCTCTGTTTACTTCAGGTGATAGTGGGGAAATATGATTCAGGAACAAAATGAATGACAGGAAAAGCCAATATGAGTTAAAACATTTGCTCTGGTAATCCACACGGAGATAATCAAGAGTTGGATGTAGAATGATATAAGCACCTTAAAATATTCTAATGCAAGAACATTTAATGCTTCAAAATCCTCTCAATGTTATTTGGCAATATAGATGATAGGACATATAAATTTATTATGGCTTAGAATTTTTAACATTAAGAAGAGCTTTTGCTTACTTTTAAGGTCTTTTTATGTTACAGAAATATGAAATACTGAATTGAAGTCTGATTAGGTCTCTTTTAAGGGGCTAGATATTTGCCTTACCTTTACTACCTTGTAGTCACACAAGTATTCCACCTCATAATTGTTTAGATTCCTTTTGGTGATTCCAATCGATTTACATGTGAGTTTTTCTTTTCTACATAATTCCTGAAGAGTATCAAGTGAAACTAGGCAAGGCACACACCAAGCTACAATAAGAAAATAGAATTCTTTACTAATGAAATAGCTACTCAATTAAAACCAAAAAAAAAAAAAAAAAAAGGAAAAACTTAAGACCTCCATATCCCCACCCTTCAACTGGCAATTTTACAGGACTAAAAATTCATATGACAAGAAACCATTTATGTGTCTTCCAGAAAAGTTAAGCATTAAAGAACTGTTTTTGATAAATTGGTCTTCTTGGATTTTCTCATGGATCTCTATTCTACTATACTTAACTAATGTCAATTCATTTCTACTAAGCCCCCTGACCGAACAGTTTCAAGTCTGTAAGCTTTCCTAAAATTACATATAGATACAAAGGACAACAGAGATAATGTTTTTGACTTTTCCATTATATTCTACATAGAATTGCTGGTTTAACAAAATGTAGATTCCTAAGACAAACTTATTGTTAGTAAAAATATCTTAAATAGATTTTAAAGCAGACTTATAAGTTGTTAAAAAGAACTAGTCCCCTTTACCTTAGCTGGACAATAAGAACTGAAATCTAATTGAAATATAGTTCCATAGTCACATATTCATACATCACATGTCCTACTTTCCCCATTCTGGAAAGCTGCATGAAATTTTAACTCCATTTATTACTTTGCCTCTGCTGTAATGTATTATTATCAAGGTAAATAAGCCCTAGAGTTATAATAAATAATGGGGAATATATTTTCATAATACTCATTTCCTGTGTTGTTTTTAAAGCCAAGGTTTACAAAACAGTGTATTCAATTTACATAATCCATATACCAAGCTTAAAGAAAATCAGACACACTCATAATTAACCTTACAGAAGCCAGTAACTAAATGTGCTGCAGAAGATTTTACTCTGAAATTTCTGTAAACAGTGTGCTACCATACGGCATGTAAAATACGTTAACACAAGTGGATGTTTAGAAATCTATAATAAACTTGGTTTTACGACTAGTGTTACGGTAAGCACTAGAAACAATCAAGGGTGCTCTGCCCCTGCCACACGAGAGTCCCATCTTTCTGGATTTCAGACTCACTGGAAAAATGTGAGGGTTGGAGTAAATCGGAATTAACCAAACAAAATCTATCAATAAACTCAAGCTTTCTTTGGTAGCTCTCCAAGGTAGTTGTGATAACCTTTTGTTTTGAGGTAATTTCCAAGGAAGAGAGAACACAGCTGCTCTCACCACAGCCTTCCCTCACCCTCCCCAACTCACACAGGGGCTTCATTGTCAGAAACCTTGAAGCAGGATTTCCACCACCCCGCTTCCTACAAAAGGTTCGTAATTCGAGACCGAGAAAATGAAAGGTATTTCTCGCCCCCCCCCCCAAGATTGGCGGAGAGATTGCTTGCTGCGGAGTGGCGGTTTGAGGGTACAAGAGTGGTTTAACACAAATGACCACTTACAAGTCTTCCATTTAAAAAACTTCGGGGTGTTTTGTGTAAAGTTAACCTCACTATGCTGATCACGTGCAAAGGAGGTTCCTGTTGGATATCGACCCAAGGTGTGTATGTCTGTTGTTGCTACCATTTTTATCTAGTTTAAGTAACTTGAGGATTCAAGACAACTCTCGACGGAAATGCTATTTTTGAGAAACAAACAAACAACACCCTGGAACATAAAAAACCGCAAATCCCTGGTAACAATTCTATTATCTACAATAATGTAGAAAATAATTCATTTGCAAGATTTAACATTTCATTACCACTACAAAAACCTCACACTAGGTTCACACTAATCCCTAGTGGAAGAAAAGTTGGGGGATAAAGACATGATAATCTAGGTGGAGAGGAGTGCTGGAAAACACCTCTACATTCTAGAATGTCTTGAAAATTCCCGTCTTTCAGACACGCGCGCGCGCACACTCACACTCACACACAGACACACACACACACATACACACACGCGCGCGGCTCAGCACCTAGTTCTCTGGCGTCCACGTAAATAACACGCAAGTTCCCGGTGGGTAAAACAATCACCGTAAGCCAGAGGCTACGTCTTCAAGTACCCACTTACTGGGATATTATTCTCCGACAGGAAATTTACCCTACCAGTGCGTCCAAACTGGGGTGCACGCTCCCTCATTTCCTTAGCGTTTATACTCCAGCCCCAATTTCTTTCTTTCCTCCGCTATCGAGGTCACGTTTACACCACCGGGTACTTCCCGCTTCCCAGTTAAAAGGCCAGCCGGAACACACAACGTCCCGCCCAAACCACCACAAAGGAGTAAACCACACGCGTGCCCACAGGCCCTCGAGCCCCCCTCCTCCCCCAGGGATTACCAGGAGCCGCGGCGGCCGCCCGAATACCTCCACACGGCGACCAGGCGGGGAGGGGCCTCGGGCCCAACGGGCAGCGGGGGTCGGGCCACGGAGTCCGCGGGACGTCCGCGGAGCGAGAGACAGCCGACCTCGGAGCAGGGCGTGCGGGCCGGGCCCCGCGGAAGCGGGGCGCAGAAGACTGCGGGGAGCGAGCGGGCCGTGCCGCGAGAAGGGTCAGGGGCCGGGGGATAGGTGAAGCCCGCGGCGCGCCTTTGGGGGCCAAGGTGTCAGCAGGGCGGGAGGCGGCGTCTCGCCGCGTCGCGCTCTGGCGGGTCCGCGGGTCCCGGCCCCGCTTCCCGGGCCTCGGGAGTTTGCCTGGAGAACTGGGGATAGTGAGGGACGCCGCTCTCCAGCCCTCACCTCCTCGCGCCTCGGCCCCAGCCGCCGCCATCTTAGGGAGCTTTCATTCAAACTGGCGCGGTCTGACGGGATAGCTCAGCTGGCCCGACGCCCCGCCCCGGCCCGGCCAGCGCGGGAGTCGGGGGCCCGGGCTGGGGGCTGGTGCCCGCGAGGCGTCCTGACGTCACCGAAGATCGACCCCGGCCACGGCGAGCGCGCATGCGCCCCACGTCGCATCCCGACGCGCAGGAGGTTGCGGGAGTCGCTGGGGGAGGTGGGCGGGGCGCGTACGCGGTTCGGGTTCGGGTTCGGGTTCGGGCGCTCCTCCTGGTTAAGCTGCCAGCCTCCTTCGACGGCGCGGGATAACTCCTAATTGAGGAGTGCGCAACGTCAGGCCTTCCCACGGTTTTTCGTGCTTTCACATGACCACTGCTTGTATGTTGTGCAAAATCCAAAACGTAGAGCGGAGCTGTATGGTGCAGAGTAGGTTTGCCTTCGGTGCCTTTTCTTCGGCCACCTGAGTCCCAGTAACCATTGTTTTCTTCCACGCTACACCCCTAGATAAAGGTTTTCTTTTTGACTGCATGTTGGGATCGCTTGGAGACGTTTTGGTTTTTGGTACCACTCGCTGAGATTGGTTTACTTGGTATGGGGGTGTGACCCGAGCATTGGAATTTTTTAGAGCTCCCCAGGTGATTCTCGTGTGCAGGAGTTTGAAACCACCAGTCTCCATCTGTGCTTCGCACACTTGATTGGCATAGGAATCCTCTGGGGAGCTTGTTAAAATGCAGATTCAAATTAGGTCGGTCTGGGCTGGGACATGAGGTTCTGTCCTTTCTAATAAGCTGCCAGGTAGTCTGCGCACAGCTTGGTTGAAAGGCTGCAGGACTCGAGGTTCTCTGAATTGGATGACTAAGAGCTCTTAACCGGTCCCCCGTCCCCCCCTTCCACCTTCCATTCTTCACACCGCATCCATGGTGATTACTCTAAACAATCTAACGCAGCGGGCAAGATACCTGAGTGGCTCAGTCCGGTAAACATTGGACTTGGCTCAGATCATGATTTCATGGTTTGTGGGTTAGAGCTCGTATAGGGCCCTACGCTGGCAGTATGGAGCCTGCTTCGGATTCTCTTTCCCTCTCTCTCTGTCCCTCTCCCACATGTGCTTTCTCTCTCTCAAAAATGAAATAAACAATCTAATGCAGAAATCTTAGAAGAGTCAATTGGGAAAACAGGAAGAAAGTCGTTTGACATCGACCAAGGATTTTTAAAAGAAATTTGTCTTAAATTATAAAAATATTTCAAAGCATCACGTAAAACTTTGAACTACTGTAAACATAGAACATTAAAGAAATTAATGTATTTGATTCCGTTCTGAAACACTGTCTAGCCATCTAATCAGGTGTTTATGAAGCCTTTAGTATCATGGGGAAAGCAAAAAAGCAACAACAGAAACCTATAAAAGTTTCAACTAGGTAAAAATATATAGGAAGATAAATATAAAATCTCTGGGGAGTGATTTCCTTTTTGATTTATCGTTTTTCACATATTTAACCATTTTCTATAATGAGCATCTTATTACCTTGATAAGGAATAAAAGGTCCTATCCAGCCCTGTAACATGGAAGCTCCTTTGCCACATGGTGGTTCCTGTCTGCTTCTCAAGCCTCACTGCTCATCACTCCTGCCTATATTAGTTTGTGACCTCCTCAAATATTCCTTGTCGCCAGGACTTCGATTCTGCTCTTGATGCTAGAAAATGCCTCCCTTCCTCCATCTTTGCTAGATTTATTCCTAGAGACCCTTTAAGTCTTAGATACAGCCACATTGCCTGCCTTCCTTCCCTCCCCAAGTGTATTCACTGCCTGTCCTGTGTTTTTACAACACCCCAGGAGCATCCATCCTGACTCAGTTTCTTTCTTGGTTTTCTTGACCTCTCTTCACTCCCATTTTTGGCTCCCGTTAACTAACCTAAACTGCTAGGGTTGCTCAGGGCTTGGCCCCAAGACCTCTCTTAGGTTCTCTCCCTAAGTGACTACCTCGGTTCCCATGAATTTATATACCATCTTTATACTTAAGATTCTCAACTGTTTGTCTCCAGCCTTGACCTCTTCCCTGAACTCCAGATTTGAATATCCACAGTGCCTAGCTGACATATCCTCTGAGGTTTTGCACAAACATCTCAAATTGAACACGTTCATAAAAAGGCCCTTGATTTTTGCTTCCAGACCTGATCCTTTCCACTGCAGGCCCCCCAAACTTTCTCAATACACTGGCACTATGATTGACTCAGGGGTCCAAGAAGGAAATCTAGGTGTCATCTTGATTTACCCTCTCCTCATTCCATAATTTCATTAGCACATCCTGTCAATGCGATGTCCAAAATACACATTGATTCCGCCCCTTTTCTCCATCGCTGCTATGACTTTAGTACAGGCTGTCATTCCTACCTGCAGTCCTGCAAAAGACTGACTACCTGGTTTAACTTCTATTGCTTCCCCTCTAATCCTTTTTCCATACAGCCGGCAGAGTGACCTTAAAGTCATGAAGCAGAACATGTCCTCCTGCTCTAAATACTGCCCAGTGTACCAGAATAAAATCCAAACCTTAAATAGCTTACCAAGCCTTAAGTGACTGGAACGCTGCCACCCTAACCTTACTTTGTGCCACTCTCACTGTTCTCTAGGACTTTTTCCACGCATGAAGAAATCTTTTATGGTGCATCTCCTATGTGCCAGGCACCGTCTGAGGTACCAAAAATAGGTAAGAAAGAAAGACTCTGTCTTCATAGAATTTATATCCTAGTGGGAGAAGCAGATAATAAGTATCTTAAGGCAACTCTAAATTACTTTCTAGAGGACAGGCTCTTGTCTCTCTTCACATGGCTACCTTCTTATCGCTTGGGTCTTAACTTCTTCCACTTCTTCAGAGGCCTCTCCTGGTTGCCCTATCTAAAGCAGTTAACTCTTGCCTTCCATTCTCTCCTATGCACTAAATGCACTTCCCACATTTTGTAGTTACCTTGTCCGGTTTTGGATCTTGATCAATCTCAGATCCAAATTTATAGAATGCATTAGACTTTTTTGTAAATCATGTTTCCTTTATTTTTTCGTCTTCAACCCCACTAACTGCAGGGGACAGATTAGACCTTTTCTATTCAAGAGGTACCACCGTGTCTACTATTTTAGGAACAGCTCTTCAGGGGCCTAGTAAGTTCCAAACTTCTCATAATAACAGCACAATGTCACCTGCCTTCTTTACTCTCCTCTCACAAGTATATAGTGAAGTTTCTCAGAGGATACACAACTCAGATACTGCAATAGACTCAATGAAGAAACAGAGGATCTCCTCAAGGCGACATCAAAGAGATTTGAAAAAACATAGGGCACCTGGGTGGCACCTGGGTCAGTTAAGCGTTTGACTCTTGATTTTGGCTCAGGTCATGATCTCATGGTTGTGAGATGGAGCCCCATGTTGGGCTCCACATAAGATTCTCTCCCCCTCTTCCTCTGCCCCTCCCACACGCAAGCAAGAAAACCTCCACACTTGGCCCTTCATCTTTTGTAAAAGTTATCTTTCATAAAAATGTTACTTACGTTAACATGTAATTTTTGTTTAAAAATGATTATTTTAAAATCTCTAGGTTTTAACTTCCATATGGTAAATATAACTAAAACTACACATACGTAAATCCAATGTAAATAGAAGCTTTACGTTCTCAATAATTTTTAAGAGTGTAGAAGAGTTGAGACTAAAAAGTTTGAGGATCTTGGTAAATTCTGGCTATAAATGGTGAGGGAAATCAAAAGCCAGAGGCCTACATCCATGTTCTCAAGGAAAACAGACAGAATTATGCCAACCCCCCTGACTTTTTTCATGAAGACCACTGCAAACATAGTATCTGGAGACCCATGGGCTGTCTTCTGTTTCATTTGAATGTTCTTCAAGAGGCAGAAAATAGAAGGGACAGTGGAAAATGTGAATTTAAATGAAATAATGCACATAAAGTGTTTAGAATAAGAAGCAGTCAAGAAAAATTAAGTTTACCAAAAAAGCATTATGAATAGGAGTTCAAAATTCACATTCACTGTGAGACCTTGGATAAATTATTTTAACTTCTCTGAATCTTTTCCCACATGTAGAACACAGAAATAACAGAGGCAATATTGCTCTGTGCATTTTGCCACTACTCAGGGAGTTATGGTGACGTCACAATTAAAAAACGAGATAATGGGGGCGCCTGGGTGGCTCAGTCGGTTAAGTGGCCAACTTCAGCTCAGGTCATGATCCCGCGGTCCGTGAGTTCGAGCCCCGGGTCGGGCTCTGTGCTGACAGCTCCGAGCCTGGAGCCTGTTTCACATTCTGTGTCTCCCTCTCTCTGACCCTCCCCCGTTCATGCTCTGTCTCTGTCTCAAAAATAAACGTTAAAAAAATTAAAAAATGAGACAATGAATTAAAGCAGACAATGGTATTGTGACATGGTTACTCACTGTTATTTTAGAAATCCTGACATTTTACCACACTTTGTTTTGTGCTGATCCTTTTTTATTTTAATCCTTAAAAATTCCGACATATAAAAGCTTTCAGTTTGTGATGAAGTATGTTGTGTCCTCTCAAGACTTTCACAGTATTATATATTGGCATTTATTTCTATTTGTATACTTGGCTCTGTCCTTTAGACAATATCAGACACGTAGATAGGCAAAATTATAATTTGACATAACCTCTTGCTTTACTGGTAAAAGTGCTCATGTTTTTAAATATATGTGATACTGGTAAGTGCGTGAAAAGATTATCAAGATGTTCATCAAAAATATCTTAATGGTTGTTACTCTGGGTTATAGAATATAGGATGTTTTAGATTTTCTTCTTTTGCAATTTGAATTTTATAATGGATGTGTATCATTTTAGAATTAGAAGAATGCTAAAGCTATTTTTACCTTGAAAAAGTGAAACACAAGAGAAGTTAATTGGCAGACCTTCCCTCACTCAGAAGAAAAAAATCCTGTCACATGAGGACGCAAGGAAATTTGGAGTACATTCATTAGCCAGATCACCATTGGTGACAATTTCAAATCTTATATGTTTCGGGAAGAAAATCATGCAAAGCTGACTAATAAAGCCAGAAGCAGAGGTATTCCTTTCCTTTTTTATGTTTCTAAACAAACCATAAAATATGTAAAAGATATACTTACTGGCCATTGTCCTATAGAATACAAAGATGACTTATTGTTTTCTTCCATGTAATTCACTTATTCAATAGACCTTTACTTAACACCTCTATGTTCAGGTAGTGACCTAGAGGCTGGGACATAATAGTGACTAAGATGGTCTTTGCTCTCACAATACTAATTTACTAATCTAGTAAAGAAAGCAAATAAGTAAATTATTCCATGGATATGGAAGAAAAGAAAACTCTTGAATAAATCTTTATGATATTTTATTCTACAGGTTTCATTAATCTACTTCAGGGGTTGACAAACATTTTCCGTAAAGAGCCAGACAGTAAGTATTTTAACGTTTGTGGGCCACACAGTCTCTGTTGCAACTATTCAATCTGCCATGATAGTGTGAAGACAGCCACCAACAATACATATACCATTAAGCCTGGCTATATTTTAATAAAATTTTATTTACAAAAATAGGAATGGCATAGAATTGACACACTGGCCAGTTTGCCAGTGCCCGATCTATTTGAAAGAGCTAACAGTAACTACAAAATAAAATCCTAAAGCACTTTCCAAAGCATAACTGAAAGCATAGACTTAGCAGTTCAACTAGTTCAGATGCTATTTTCCTATTTTCTGAAAATAATTTATATTTATTTATTTGATTTCAAAGTTTTTATAACTTTGGAAAAGATCCTAAAAAATAACTAAGTACTCATCCTTAATCAAAAGTGTATGCCTTTGAGCCTGCTTCTTTGTGGACTCAGAATCGTATCTGAATTCTTTTTCTGTCAATAATTTGATACAGAATAAATGAAAAACCTTGAGTTTGGTGTCTGTATCTTTAGAAATAGAATATTACCACCACGTAAGTCCATAGAAATAAACTATAATGAAAAAGCACCTCCACAGTTTGAACAAGATAAAAACAGCACAATTTTTAAATTTGACCACTGAGTAAAGATATTTCCTCTTCTCAAATCTTCTGGGAGCCAAGGAAAGAAATGAATGGAAAATTCTCTCTTGATAATAGAGTCTGATGTGCACTGCTCACCTTCTAGTTCTTTTTCCAATATTCACAGGTTAGTTGTCTTGTTTTACTTAGTGAATGAATGACCTTCTCATTAGTAACCCAGTGAGTATCTCAATGCACTAGTGAATGTTCTCTATTGAACAGAATGTGGCTAGGCGTCTCTTCAAAAACAAACAAACCAACCTTTTAATTTCAAAAGAAAAACATATTTGTTAGAGAGAAAAATCAAATTAAACAAAACTGTAAAAAGTAAAAGTGCCACCCTGTAGTATTTCTGTCCACAGAAAGGCCACTGTTAGAGGAGTTTGATGGGTAGCCTTCTAGACTTTGTATTCTATGCTTGTCACACACATATCTATACACAATTGTTGAGTTTATGAATTTACTTGTTTAAGCAAAAATGGTATCTTACTTTGCACATGGTTCTCCAACTTTTTTCATCCACTATCAAAGACTTTTAAATTGTTCTTCATGATCTAGTAAGAATAAAAGACTTCTTCAAACTTGAAGTTATAGAATCAAAAGTTTTTAAAAAACACAATGTTAAATTTCCAGTAAAATTTCCTGCAATCCACTCAAGTTAATTCTAAATAGCTTCATGATAGAAAAAGTTCCTTGTATTTCTCACTACTAAAGGTCCTTATATTTCCCATGGTAAGCGGAAAACAAAAAAAGGTTGCAACACTTACCAATATATTGTATTTTAATAGAAACATATATAGTTCATTCAAAAAAGTATTTTAATATAAACATCGCTTATAGACAAAACCAAATAATAACGATATTCTAGTTCTAAAAATTCCTGGTTTCTCTAAAACACTAAGATGCCACTTCAATAGTGATTGCTTCGCATTTTCCGGTCTCTTGATCTGTGCATGTCACATGTAAAGATCCATCCCTAAAACAAACAAACAAACAAACAAACAAACAAACAAACAAACAATAACATTTCATGAGCTCATTTCATAAAAGCAGAAAGCTCTTAAGAAATTATTTGAGGACTTTGAGTAAAAAGAGATAATTTTAATTTTCGAAAGAAGAGTATTGAGATCAAGAAGAAACAATTTCAGAGTCTAAACTTAGTGTCATATGCTATAATTACGTAGTTGTTCTTAAAAATTTCTTCCTACACCACTGAGACAGCAGTTGTATTCTTTGAAAACCACAGTGATAACTATCTTAAGTTTAAGACTTTATGCAAACTGAGAAGACGCATCATGCCATTTTCAAGCACAGGCCAAGGCAAACCTACCCTAATGAATTTGACATGCTTGCTAAATAAGTATGCTCATGGAATGAACTGTCTGTTCCTAATGTTAATTTGGAAACAATTTACTTGCAAGACATATTGTTATGGATGGTCAGTTGTTAGTGAAACGGTAATAGCTGGATTTAATGAGTAATTTATTTCCTAGAGATTTTCTGTAGCAATACTGAAATAAACTTATCCTCTCATAGGACAAATAATATGAATCATGTAAACCTTAGAAAATTATATTTAAAATTGATAAAAATTATATCTCAAACTTGCATGGACCAGTTTTTAGGTCCACCACACCAAAACAGAATTCATAAAAAATTCAGAATGCAAATGATTTGAGATACACTTCTTTTTGTAAAATACAGTCATTGTGCAGGGCAAAAAATATAATTCACTGATAAAATCTTTGTAAGCTTCTAATACATGATGTTCCTGGAATAACAACGGGTGGAGAATCAATAAATGAACAAAAAAGGTCAAGCCCCAAAGTAAATTTTCTTAATATCAGAAGTAGTTTAATTTTGTACCTTTTCATAGTAAGAACAGCCAAAATATCACGTAATCCATTTTCTTTTTTATCTAGATCCTGGAGTACAACCTGTTTATGTAAAAATAATACAAAGATGATTTAGTACTTTGATATATTAATAAATTGATGCATCAATTATTCCAACAGACCAAATTTTACTCATTACTGGAACAAACCTTTTCAAATAGGGCAGTTCTCAATTTTTCTACCATTTACCAGAATCTGAAAATAGGATTAAGCTTTCCTAACTGGAAATGTCTCCTCTAGAAGGACAACATATATATCTGTTCCTCTTAAATGTCATGCCCTAGACTAAAATGATTGTTTCTATGAAATATTCTTTGTCTCAGAAAATAAAGACTGCTTTTCCTTTTTGATAATTAAGCCATTTCCAGTAACATGTAAGTTATATTTTGGTATATACTCCTTTTTTAAATATGTTTATTTATTTATTTTGAGAGAGAGCAGGGGAGGGGCAGAGAGAGGGGGAGAAAGAGAATCCCAAGCAGGTTCTGCACTGTCAGCACAGAGCCCGACACAAGGCTCGAACCCACGAACCGCATGATCATGACCTGAGCTAAAATTGAGAGTCAAACGCTTAACCAACTGAGCCACCCAGGTGCCGATATTTTGGTATACCCTTACTACATGTACTTTTAAAAATTCAAATATTTTAAATACACTTGGAAAACCAATTTAAAGAAACACATGGCAAATTCTTTTGTACAACTAAGATTACACTTGTACATTTGTACAAACGAGATATTAATGAATTTACTATAAAATGGCTTTGGTTTCCTAAAAAAAGGTATACCAATAAACCAAGTTTGGAAGTGACTTTTCAGATTTGCCAATATCAAGTTTTATGACCTTAGGCAAGCACCATGTACCTTGATTTACTCATTTGTAAAATGAGGAGGTTAGAACAGATGGGATCTCTAAAAGAACATCTTCCAAATTCAGTATTAGGTGACTAACTCTGCTCCTGGCATCTGTAAGTTAGGATACGGTGACAACAGCTGCAGCCTCGGAGGAGTGTACGAAGGGAAATAAATGCACAGGAGAAAGAAGCTGAGGGAATACTAAGACAGCCAAATGAGTTTAGAAATACAGTACACAGGGGCACCTGGGTGGCTCAGTCCGGCTGAGCGTCTGACTTCAGCTCAGGTCATGATCTCGCGGCTCATGAGTTCAAGCCCCGCGTCGGGCTCTGTGCTGACAGCTCAGAGCCTGGAGCCTGTTTCAGATTCTGTGTCTCCCTCTCCCTCTGCCCCTCCACCCCCCCGACATGTACTCTGTCTCTGCCTCTCAAAAATAAAGAAAACTAATAAAAAATTTTTTAAAAATACAGTACACAGGAAAGTGCTTGTAGAGTAATTCACATCAGAAACATCTGGATGAGCTTTTGAAAGCTTGACTAGTCGAAGGAGCCCCACTCCACTAGATTCTAAGATGTCTGAGGTGCAGCCCAGATATGTTATGTATGTGTGTGTGTGTTTTCATCATTCTTTCGTTGAAATCAGAGAATAGATATAATGCTGAAGACACTACACGTTCTCTTCAGTTACCCACATTTGTTTTTCACTATAGAAGTATTTCATGCTCAGGTCCTGTGCTGCTTGTTAAAGACTCAGTACAAAGTGGTAACAAGTAAAAAAAGAAAAAAGAAACCCTCTTGGTACCTTCAAATCTACCCACTGTTAGATTTCCTAAATATAGTTGAAATACTTATAGATATTTTCTCTATCTATGCTTGGATATTTATACACACACCGTCACAAACACCACCTCCCTCACACACACTCAAGCTCTCAAACTTTTTATTTAAACCCAAATGATATCTATCATACTGTAAATAAAGCTCTGCCGTCTTTGTATGTGTGTTTTAATGTAATTATATTTGGGGGGCATGTTTCTAAGCAGATAATGTGGCTCCATTTCATTCCTATTAAAGAATGCAGAGGACTCTATAGTATGAAATATGAATGTGGTATTTTGAAAAAGCAAAGGTGTCTGTATCAGAGGCAGAAGGGTAATAATGGCAAGAGCAAGCGCCCAGGAATAAAACCAACTGAGGATAAATTTTAGCTCAACCAGGAAAAGAACAAGGTATTTATTGCCATGAGCTTGTTTTTCAGTCATCTATAAAATGACCATAATAATGTCTTTCTCACAGCACTTTGAGATTAGGTTTGTAAATTGCCTAATCAGCACGTGGCACGTAGTAAACAAAAAAAGTCATTTTCCCTACTGCTTACATTTTACCAAGGAGGGCCAAGAGTACAAAGATAAACAGAAAAAAATACATATTGTATTTTATTTTCTTGTGACTTTTTGAAATTAAAATTGCTTATCTCTTCTCTAGGTAGTGGGGCTCCTGGGTGGCTCGGTAGGTTAGGCACCCAACTCTTGGTTTCAGCTCAGGTCACGATCTCACAGTTCCCAGTTCGTGAGTTTGAGCCCTGTGTGGGGCTCTGCACCGACAGTGCAGAGCCTGCTTGGGATTCTCTCTCTCTCTCTCTCTCTCTCTCTCTCTCTCTCTCACTCCCTCCCTCCCTCCCTCCCTCCCTACTCACGCTCCTTCTCTCTCAAAATAAATAAATAAATAAAATTTTTAAAAAAGTAAGTAGGGGCTCCTGGGTGGCTCAGTCATTTGAGCATTAGACTCTTCTTTTCGGCTCAGGTCATGATCTCCCAATTTCGTGAGTTCAAGCCCCACATTGGGCTCCACGCTGGTAGTGCAGAGTGTGCTTGAGATCCTATCTCTGCCCTTCCCCTACTGGTGCTGTCTCTGTCTCTCTCTCAAAATAAATAAACTTAAAAAAAACCTAAAATATTAAAAAGATTAAAAATAAATAAAAATTTTAAAAAGTAAGAATTCATTCATAAAAATGTGTTAGATACCCTATATACATTTTATGTTAATAGATATTAAGTTGAGTTAATGCAGAAGGAAAAGTTAAGCAGCTTCACATGACTAATTCATTGTCTAATTTTATGTATTCACCTGTGCGAACTTGTCTTCCTCTTTTGCAGAGTTCTTCCCCTCAGACTCATAGAGTTCAAGGCATACTGAAGATATACTTCCGGGGGCTTGTAATGTGTGTTGTCTTCGAGCCGGCAAAGGAGTCCCTGATGGGAACAGTACTGTGAAGCTTTTGGCTCCTGATTCATCGACTCCCTAATAAGCAGAAAAATAATATCCGTATCCTTTGATATTTACCATTACAATTATAAAGCCATTCCTATTATAAATGTAATACTTATTCCTGACTGACAACTTAGGCAAAGAACACAGAAATGATCCTGAATCCCAACCTACTTCACTTAACAATAAATTGAAACATGTATCCCTCTATCTGTATGTGAAGCTTCTGATTAAAATTACAATTAAGAAATTAACATGCTAAGTAAATGCTAACTTAAAGAACATAAGAAACTCATTAAATGTAAAATTATAAATCTAAATTTAAAATTTTTACCAGTATACAAGGTTTTACTGTAAAAACATGGTATATATAAATAACTATGGCAATAAGTTTATACTACTTTTATGGAAAAGTAAAGAAAAGCTAAACATACCTTAACTAAAATATCTTTGGCTGAACACTCTATCTTAAGAGACTCTTCGACTAAAAGGTTTTCTTTGCCAGTAAGAATCCCTGCTTCTATAGCTGCACCTATAGGGATGACTTCATCAGGAGGGACAGAATTCAGAAGCTCAACATTTGGGAAAAGATCTTTAATCAGCTGCTGTAGTCTTGGGATGCGAGAAGACCCTCCACAAAGAACAACCTAGAAAATTAAAAATAATTTTTAGGTTTTTACTTTTAGAACAATGGTTGTTTCTCAGAATTAAGTGTTATAGGTTCAGCCATCTTTACCACATATAATGGTAAATACAAGCCCTATTTTATCATACATTATATTGTGCTTAAAATATATATAAATATATATTTAATACATTGTTGGTATTTAACAAATTCTTTACTCATAAACCACAAAATTTAAAAAGAAGCAATCTCACCACACATTAGAAGTACAGTACAGCCACATACACGTGGCTCGTGATTAATTTTGGGCATATGAGGTTTAACCATAAATCTCATTTAAACAGGAAATATATTAATACTTTGTATTATTCCAATACTTCTAAAAGAAATGTTTGTGGGGTGCCTGGGTGGTTCAGTCAGTTAAGCGTCCAACTTTGGCCCAGGTCACGATCTCACAGTCTGTGAGTTCGAGCCCCGCATCGGGCTCTGTGCTGACAGCTTAGAGCCTGGAGCCTACTTCGGATTCTGTGTCTCTCTCTCTCTCTCTCTCTGCCCCTCCCCTGCTCATGCTCTGTCTTTCCCTGTCTCAAAAATAAATAAAAACATTAAAAAATTTAAAAAAAATGTTTGCATAAATCTTATAGCATTTTTGTGACAATCTGTCTTCACCATGGAAGAATACTAAATTTTCTTGAGGAAAAAGATGTTTTATACAAATACATTTTAAGCTCTTGGTGCCATCTGATTAAATATGTTGTCTCTAAAGAACTTTATATAAAATTGTTCCTTTATGAGCTTGTCCACACATCTAGCACCCCAACTTTTATGGCTGTCATGTGAGGGGATGGGGCTCCAAATCACCCAGCTCTGCCAGTCAGAGGGGCTGGCATTCATGAGTCCCACAGGACTATCCAAAACAAAGAAGCAGTTTTTAAATCAGTGAAGCAGCACCCTGTGCCCAGTGGCTAGATACCTGGGCTCAGCACAGACAGAGCCAGGCAAAAATACCCATTTTCCAATTTCTCCCTGGAAGAGGTTTAACTGCATACTTCCCAGGTGCCACCTGAGAGTTTGGCTTCCAATCAGCCGGTATGGAGGTCCTGACTACGATCCTCCTCTTTGGGACCCTTACAGTGGTTGGCACAATGTCAACCACTGAGAGCCGCTAAGAACAGGGATGGCAGCTTAGGCATAAAGGTTTGAGAGCAACCAGGAACTTAGGCTGGGCTGATGGGCAAAGTTCATTTCCTATGTAAGTCCAGTGTACCTAGGTTGGAAGAGATGACAGTTTTATGTAATGCACAGAAACCAACATAGAGAGTCAATATATGTATTCCAAACAAAATAACAAAAGAATTCTATTCAGAAACCTATCTTAATAAAACAAAAGTAAGTGATTTTCCCAACAGAGTTAAAAATAAGAGTAATAAAGATGATCACTAAGGTCAGAAGAGTGATGCATAAATAAAATGAGAATTTTAACAAAAAGACAGAAAATGTTAACAAAATACCAAACAGAAATCACAGAGCTGAAGAATACAATAAGTGAACTGAAAAATTCCATACAGGGGTTCAACAGCAGACTATACCAAATGAAAGAAAGGATCTGTGAACTCAGAGACAGGATAGAGGAATTCATCTAAACAGAGGAGCAAAAAGAAAAAAAAAATGAAAAAGAATTAAGATAGCTTAAGGGACTTACAGGATCAATAGTTAGCACACTAACACACATATTATAGGGGCCCCAGAAGAAAAAAACAAAGAAAAAGGAGCAGAAAGCTTATTAAAAAGGGTGAAAACTTACCTAACCTGGGGAAAGAAAGATCCAGATCCAATAGGCACAAAAATTACCAAATAAGATGAATAAAGAGATCCACAATGAGACACATTATAATGAAAGTGTCAAAAGTTAAAGACAAAGAGAGAATCTTAAAAGCCCCAAGAGAAAAGCAACTTGTTACAAGGGAACTCCCGTAAGATGATAAGCAGATATTTCAACAGAAATCTTGGAGACCAGGAGGGATATATTCAAAGTGCTGAAAGAGAAAAACCTGTCAGCCAAGAATAATCTACCCAGCAAAGCTGTCCTTCAAAGAATGTTGATTAATAACATGAAAGCATATGAAACCATAAAACCACTGGTAATAGTAAATATATACAGTTGACCTTGAACAATTAGAGAGTCAGGGACACCGATCCAATGCATAATTGAAAATCCATGTACAACATCCGACTAACCCAAAACTTAACTATTAATTGCCTACTGTTGGCCAGAAGCCTTACCATTAACACAGTCAGTAAACACGTTTTGTATATGTATTACATACTATATTCTTACAATAAAGTAAGCCTGAGAAAAGAAAATGTTATTAAGAAAATCATGAAGAGGGGCGCCTGGGTGGCTCAGTCGGTTGAGCGTCCGACTTCGGCTCAGGTCATGATCTCGCGGTGTGTGAGTTCAAGCCCTGCATTGGGCTCTGGGCTGACAGCTCGGAGCCTGGAGCCTACTTTGGATTCTGAGTCTCCCTCTCTCTCTGCCCCTCCCCTGCTCATGCTCTGTCTCTCTCTGTCTCAAAAACAAATAGAAACATTAAAAAAAATTTAAAAAAAATCATGAAGAAGAGAAAATACACTTACAGTACCGCACTGTGTTTATTGAAAAAAAATCCACCTATGAGTGGATCTGTGCAATTCAAACCTGTGTTGTTCAAGGAAGGGCCAACTGTGGTTAAATTCAGAATACTCTAATATTGTAATGGTAAAGGATAAGTCAGTTGTAACTCTAGTATGAAGGTTAAAAAACAAAGACAAAAATAACGGTAACTACAATAATTTGATAACGGACAAGTAATATAAAAAGATGTAAACGGTGATGTCGAAAACATAAAATGTGAAGGAGTGCAAGAATGTAGAGATTTCACATGTGTTGAAGTTATTATCAGCTTCAAATAGGCTATTATAACTACAAGATGTTTTATGTAAGTCTCATGGTAATCACAAAGCAAAACTTATAATAGATACAACAAAAGATAAAGTTATCAAAGCATACCAATAAAACCAAAGTCATCAAATCACAAAGAAAGAACAAAAGGAAGAAAGGAACAAATGAGCTACAAAATAGAAAACAATTAACAAATGGCAATAGTAAGTTTATAGTTATCAAAAATTAAATTATTTTCTGTACACTAACAACAAATTATTGGAAAGAGAAATTAAGAAGACAATCCCATTCACAAAAGCAATAAAAAGAATAAAGTATTTAGAAATAAATTTAACCAAGGAAGTGAATGATCTGTACACTGAAAACTATAAGGATATTGATGAAAGAAACTGAAGAAGACACAAATAAGTTGAAAGATATTCCATGTTTATGGACTGGAAGAATTAATATTATTAAAATATTTGTATTTGTCCATTTGTATTTGTAGTATTTGTCCATACTACACAAAGTTATCTACAGATTCGATGCAATCTCTATCAAAATTTCAATAGCATTTTTCACAGAAATAGAAAAAACAATCCTAGAATTCACATGGAACCACAAAAGACCCGAAACAGCCAAAGCAATCTTGAGAAAGAACAAAGCTGGAGCATCACACTTCCTCATTTCAAAATATATTACAAAGCCACAGTAATCAGAACAGAATGGTATTGGCATAGAAGCAGACACACAGATCAACAGAAAAGAACAGTGAGCCCAGTAAAAAACCTACGCATATATGGTCAATTAATTTTCAACAAAGGAACCAAGAATATACAACAGAGAAAGGACAGTCTCCTTAATAAATGGAATGTGGAAAAGTGGACATCTACATGCAAGAAAATAAAACTGGACCACTATGTTACACCACACACAAAAATTAACTCAAATTGAAGACTGGAATTATGACCTGAAACTATAAAACTCTCAGAAGAAAATATAGGGAGGAAGGTCCTTGAAACTGGTCTTTGCAATGAGATTTTTGGATTTGACAGCTAAAGCCAAGGCAATAAAACCAAAAATAAACAGGTAGGACTATACCAAACTGAAAAGCTCCTGAATAACAAAAGAAACCATCAACAAAAATGAAAAGGTAACCCATAAAAAGGGAAGAAATATTTCCAAACCACTTATCTGGAAAAGGGTTAATATGCAAAATATACCAGGAAGTCATAAAGTCAACAACAAAAAAGCAACTTGATCAAAAAAATAAATGGGCAAAGGACCCAAAGAGACATTTTTCTGAAGAAGATATACAGGTAGCTAAGAGACACATGAAAAGATGCTCAACATCACGAATCATCAGGCAAATGAAAATCAAAACCACAATGAGGTATCACCTCACACTTGTTATGGTGACTCTCATCAAAAACACAAAAGATAACAAGTACTGACAAAAATATAGACAAAAGGGAACCCCTGTACACTGCTGGGAATGTAAACTGATAGAACCACTATGGAAAACAGTTTGCAAATTCCTCAAGAAATAAAAAAATAGAATTACCATATGATGCAGGTATCTTACTTACGAGTATATGTTCAAAGGAAATGAAATCACTACCTCAAAGAGATATTTGTACTCTCACGTTGATTACAGCATTATTC